GTGTTGTGGGGCATCTAGCACAGCTTTTGGCAGTGACAGCAACAGCAATGGTTCTCCATATGGCCAAGCCTTCCTTGCCACCTGTACTGTAGGAGCGCATTTGTCTGACATAGCATCCTGGTGATCTTTCAGCAAAAATACAGTCACATCACACCGTGTCCAGGTTTGGTTTGGCTCATCAACAACCAGCTGTTTCCAAACAGTTTCTCTTCATCCAGAGCCAGACTGGACTTCATAAAAGTGCTCTTAGTAAAAGCAAATAAAAATGCTTTATAAAATGTTTAGTGCGTATCTCATGTACTCCTGATTAACTACCAGGTAAAAGGATCCTTAGAACCATTCAGTTACTGTTTCCTATTGTCCTATGACAGAAGCTACAGATGGTTTATGTACATTTGTTGCTTTATTGAATGGATTTGATGTATTTCTAGAAAAGAGCAGATAGAAAAGTCTTGATTTGAGCTTTCCTGCAATTCCAGTTTTTTCACAACTGGGATTCTGATCCATACTTAGCTCAAGTGTCTTCAACTATGAAGTGTTCTTAGATCAGTTGGGCATCTTAGAAATTGTTATTCACTAATTTCTTCTTTTCCAGTCCATTCCACTTCTATCAATGTACTGAGTCAATTTCCACTCCACTAACTTCACAAGAGAAATAACACTCATGAGCAAGCTCATAGCTTGCTCCAAATTGGGAGCAAAGTGGGACAATAGAATAACACTGCACTTGCATGGGATGGATGGCAGAAGAGAAGCTGACTGTGAAGAGGTAAATTTAGACAGGCACAGTTCTTTAAAATAACATTTGGAAATTAAACTATATTTGGTTTAATGCACTTTTAAAAGAAATTGAGAGAAACCAACAGTAGCATGCAAGGAATATGAGGAAAGAAGAGAGTTTCAGGACTGAACAGGTCAAAGAAAATGAAGAAAAGTGGTGTCAGTAGTGACCATTTACATACATAATTTTTTTTTTATGACAACACATCCTGGTGGATCACAGCACTTCAAAAAGCTTGAAATGCTTAAAAGTTTTATATATTTCCCATGACCTAGCTTACAGTGGATCTGAAACTAATGTTCCTCATGCCAACGCACCACAATGCAGTTTGGCAGTATGAAACACTATTACAAGTGAAAGCAGCAGTTGGTGAAGTGTAACAGCTGCTCAGATATTCTACTTGAAGATTCATGATTAACTCTTCTACATTAAAGAGATTGCTGAAGTTTGATGGTTTTATTGCTGTATCTCTTGCATCTTTTCAAATCCAGCAAGGCTGGTGGAAAATATGTGAGTTTGAAGAGTGCAATATGTCTCTAGGAAATTAGAACCCATTTCTCTTCCAGGTTTCCCTTCCCTCAAATTTGTGCTATGTTTTGCCTTATCAAAAAAAGGGGACAGTGATCATTATCCTATTCCTTCTTGTCAGGCCAGATCTATGCTGATCATTAATTCAGAATTTTGGGGCAAGAAACTCATGTAAAATCCCTTAGAATCTTTTTCTTTGATTCAGACTCAAAACTAAAGAAAAATCAATTTATATGAAGAGAGGAAATTAAGAGATCTCCTGCAGCACATAGATGGATTGTGCATTTTTGGAGTAATGTTTGCAGGTATTTGGAGGGGGTTTATGCTTTCTGTTTGCTTATTTGAATATTAGCTTTAATATTTGACAGTTTTATGTTTTCTTAGGGTGACCTGGTCTCAAATTTATCTCAGAAAGTCTCAGATGCAGGAAACACCTCAGAAAATTTCCCACTTGTAAATGTTGTAGTGACAAATATGTTATAAACTTCACTACGTGGGGATGTTAATCAGGCAGAACTTTTGCATGCCTAAATTCCTCCTCATTTCTGATACAAATGAAACAGCTCTTCTCCTCAGTTAGCCTCTCAACACTTTTTACTCCCACCAAGCTTTTATTGTCATTCTTCTCTCTTCAACATGATACACATACTTAGCCCAGCTTGGTAGCATTTCTGTCAGATTGTGAAAAGTCTGACAGCATCTTTGGCTTTCCTAATTGAGCCAAAAAAACCCAGCATGCTAGGTATTTCTCAGAGTAGAGGATTTTCTCTGCTTCCGGGATTAGACCACACCAGTCTCAGCAGCCACAAATTGTATCTGCAATTGGTATGTAAAAATCTATCATGGAAAGCTGCATGCTGGAGTAGTTTGTGTCTCCATATGCCATATGTTTAAGTGAAAGAGTGTGACAATCACAGCAGCACACTGTCCAGAAGTCATAAGCAGTTAACAAAATGCAACATGATTGTTGGCAGGCCTGCTGGTCTGGGTCATGCAGCCAAAGCTGAATTTATAAAACACGGTAAACAGGATGGCAAGACAGGAAAGGCAGTTGGCATGTGAAACCATGCAGCAGCCTGACAGGAATGCTCTGAAACTGCCTCCCAGTTTCCAGGGTTTCATATCACCATTTCTTTCTGCCTGTCTGGCCCAGATGAGGACTTATCTACCTGTCCTTCCACAAGAGCATAGCTCTTGAAAAGTAAGTTTAAAATGAGTACGCCAAAGTTTTACTCAGCAAGGTAATCTCCCGCATCGGAGGGTCATCAAGGTTGTTGCAGTTAGACTTCTGTGCTAGAAGTAAGCTCAATTGTTTCACAGTAGAGAGAAAAAGGGGTTTACAGTCACTTAGAACCACTTCCCAATTAGGAGTGCTGGGCCATGTTTTCATGTGTGGCACATGGTGGCACAGACACGTAGCTGCACTGTCCTCCATCCTGTCCATGCTGTGCTGCCCCTGCAGAAGAGACGGTCTGTCTTCTTATGCTGGGCAAAATGTGCATTTGATGGGGCTCTGATCTCTGCCAAACAAAAAAAGAAAAAGGAGCGGATTGGGTGTTTTATGCGGGAAGGAGGGAGTTGTTTGCACTCAGGCAGCAATTATACCCTGAAATCCAGAGGCTGACGGTTGCTGCTCCAGGGCAGCCGACTGCTTCCTGCAGCTGGCTGCTTAATACTGCAAAGGTGATGAAACCTGAAGGGAGCCACTGAATAGGTGGTAATTATGACTGACACAATGACGGCTTGTGCAGACATGTAACTGTGAAACAAAACACTGCAGTTAGCTAACAAGAGATCAGTATAAGTTTTTTCACTGGCACTGTGTCTCCTGTCTGACACTTCTGAAATTGGAGGAAAAAAAAGCATTGTGAGCTTCAACATACAGAGACAGAATAGGCCAGACAAGCTGAGGGTGGAAAGCCAACATCTGTCCCTTTCAGGATGATTATAGCAGATTCTGTTTTCATGTTGATTTCTGAAAGCCTGTTTTTCTTACTTTCAGTTTTTTCTTTCATAAACATCTCTTTTGGGTTGTGTCCCTGTGATATGGTTGACTACACTGCACCTCCATCTCTCTCAAGCACAGAATCGTTTGAATAGTTTCAAATAACTATAACAGGGCATTTGTGGATCCAATTCCATGGTAACTTATTATTCTCTTTCCTATTTTTTATGTTGGGGACAGATAGGCTTTCTTGAGTTATAAAATCATGCTTTTATACAGATGGCAAAGGAAAGGACACTGGGACATCCTGTTCAATCAGCACATCTTTGGAACTTCCTGGAGTGTTAATGGACAAAAAAAGTCGTTTCCCTGCCCAGTGAGAATATCTGAGATAAATCAGAAATCTTCTAGGTTTCTATAATAATAGTTGTAGCTAGGAAACAGGAGAATAAGGACTCAAATTCCTTACTAACAGCATAAGCACTGATCTGTACACCTTCTTTCTTTCCCCTTCTTTGAAGTGGAACATGAAAATGCCCTGGCACAAGACCTGCTTTTAATCCCATATGAAACTAGCATCCCAAGTTCACAGCTGAGATGGGAATTAGGCAGAGGAGGAACCTGTACCAGATGAGAGCCTTAAGATCATGCATGCTAAGGACGGCAGAAGAAATTATTTCTGCCACCCCAGGGTGAAAAAGAGACAAAAAATTCCACTCTGTTGTTGGAAATCTTATGCAGTGGAAGTTTTTTCAGAAGTAGTATAATTCCACAAAAGATGTCCATCTCAATCGATCTATACTTTTTAGTGAAAAACTTTTTTTCTGAAAATTTTCAGCTGTTTGCTGATTCTGCCAACAGTGGATTTTCTATCCATGGAAACTCAATGGTGTGGTCTCCACTAATATACTCTTCTGGAATTACCCAGTTTATAAACCCATTACATCCCCTTTTCATCTTTGGAGATTTTACTGTACAGGAAAGTGGAAAGTCTTTGCTTCACCCAGCAGCCATGCTATTCCTTGGGAAGAACCTCCTGATCCCCACATGCACCAGTCACAATTCAGGCAAAAACACCCTGGCAAACACTCCAGGAAACAGATAAAAATCATTGATTTTACTTATGGCCTTTGCAGAAGGATTTTATCTCTTTCTGTCCCACACGTGAAATTTTTCTATGATGTCAAAACAACTGTGTAGCTTGAGGACCATACATTTTAATCTCTGCTTAAAGAGACTGTGATGCAAAGTTAGCATAATGTAGCTTACACAAAAGTGAATGGAAAATACTTCATTTTTATGCAAGTACAGATTATTATTCAGTGGCCAGTGGTTTTGTCTATGCAGTTTGTCTTTTTTTCAGGAGACACACACATGTTCCAGATTTTGGGCTAATAACTATAGGGACAAACTATTTGAAGAAAAACTGCAATCCAATTTATATTTCTTCAATTATTTCACTGTGTTGAAACAATATGATTCATGCACCTTTGTTTCTGAGGCCAGAGAGTGGCCTATGGAAAGCAGCTGTTGTATAAATAAACATATAGAGTTATGTTTGTGTCGCTCCCGGGTGGCATATACCAGCTTTGGTTACCAGCCATTTATTTCTCCTACAGTGCAAAACTCTGAACACTGAGAATTAACCAAAAGCAGGTTTTCTTTTCCTGGATTTTAACAGAGAAAAAAACAGTGAGTGTGCCTTTAGGGCTGCTTTCTAAATTCTACTTTGGATTCAGTTCTTACCTAGATGTTGTTTAAATGCATTAGGCTGTCACTCCATCTACTCTAGCATGCTGTCTTGGGCAGTGGACAGTGCTTTCCCAGAGGAGCTTTACATGCCTGAAGGAGAAAGGGATGGTAGGAAAATAGCAAGGTGTATGATCAGTAAGAAGAAAGACACACATCTGAAGTTATTTCCTCTTACTCACAGCTCTCCTTACATCACCCGGAGCAAATGATAAAATAGCAGGTGCATGGAGTGCAGCCCCACGACACACAGATCACTGGAAATGCAGTGCCATGAGGGAGATGTTGGGATATGTCTGCATAATTGTATCAGAACTATGGAGTAAGCCTGCACATTTGAAAAGGCAGGAAAATCTGCTGTTCTAGATTGTCCTTCACTGTGCCTAAGAGAATCAAGGAACGGTGATATTAGGAGCTTTAGCTCTGTCTCAGAGAATCCAGGTCTGAGGCCTACTTTCTGTCATCCAGTGATAGCCATGGCTACAGTGCCCGTGCAATCAGTACCACACATTCCACGGTACAAACAACGAGAGATTTACAGGGAAATTGAGGTGTGAAGGGCCCCCCAGAGGCCTGTGCTTGTCCTCTGATCAAAGTAGGGCCAATTTCAAATGGTTAAGGTAACGTTAAAAATTAGGCAATCACCTGTGTCCTGTCTCATACAGTGAACAAGTCACCAGAAACCAACCTTAGCATGCTTGGGGAGGGCTAGGAGGGTCAACATGGAACACCATGGGGACCACGGGTCTACAGTGACAGATGACACAGACTGGACATAAAAATATGAAACAGCTTAATGAGTTTAAGTATCACTCACAGTGGCATCTCCAAATGGGAAGGAGAGGAAACATGACCATCACAGAAGTTGTACAGAAAACATTAAAAAAAACTAAAGTGGATTTTCCTTTTTTTTTTTTTTTAATTTCTGTACATTTCAGATGGATTTTGATTGCATTATCAAATCCTTCATTATAATCATCTGGGCTTGAATTTCTTGAGTTTCTTTCTTTTATTGTTACATAACCCTAAAAATTCCAGACTATGGGGGGTTTATATGTATAATCTGCAGAGATGAAGTGTCAGGGTTCACAAATTAATCACCAGAAGTTAGTGACATGTGAAACTGGGCAGGGAATCCTAACAGGCCCCCAGGAGGGTGTCTAAGGAGACACTTTGTAGAAATCTGTGCTGACTTTCTATAAAAAGAGTGCAGTGTAGTTAATTTTAACCACATATTATGCCTAATTAACTCATTATGCAAATATGAACATAATGAGCTGCTATCATCCAAGGGCCCAAAAATCCAACAACCGTGTTCTGAAAGGTCACATCCTAAACCTTTAATACAGAGAGTGAGAGAAAAGGAAAAAGAGTCAGGAGAATGAATAAAGCTCAAATAAAGGGCTTTACTTCTGGAAAGAACAACAGCAGGAGCTTTTCAAAACACAACCACTTACCTTTTTAAAGAAAATAAATATGTAGTCTGTTCTGACTCTACAGCTGTGCTTGTTCTGTCTCTTTTTCCCACACCTACTCATCTCCTTTCATCTTTCTCCTCCAGTCCTCTCTTTCAATGTTTTCAGTGTGCTTTTTTGTTCCTCTTTCTGGGGCAGCTGAAGCCCTGAAGACCTTGAAAGAAGTATGACGGAGAGCTGTAGAGCAAAGAGGGATCAGAGTTGCAGAAAGCAGAGGTGGGCTGCCAGCACATAGGGGTACAATAAGAATGGAAGTGGGGAGGGTTGTTTGGGGCTTCTCCCTTGCAAGAACTTACCAAAAAGCAAGGTCTTACTAGGAGGGAAAAAAAAAAAAAAAAAAAGCAGTCTGACTTCCACTGCTTTAATCCCAGCAAGAAAGTACTAGAGCATTGAAAGTTGATCACAACAATGCCAGCTCATCAGTCCAGTGAATGCATTGGAAAATCATGTCCAGCAAACAAAAATTATTTCCCTAAATGGGCACACAAGCACATCTCCCACTCAATTTTAGTGGGGAGGGTCGTCCTTGTTTTTACAGACATAGGGCACTGTGACCTCTGCTTTTTTTCCTTGGGGTTGAACCACCAGCTAAAAACATCCAGTCCTTTCTGCTTGTCATTTCTTCCTCTTGCTTTGAGGAATGAGAACCAGGATGGTCAGTCCAGATGTGTGATATCCAGAAGTTCTTAAGTGGGCACCAAACCCTGCTACCAGCCTTATTTAGCTGCCTTGGGCACCAGTGAGCAGCCCTTCAAGTCCTTTATTCCACAGCCCCTTCCAGCTTTGGCACTGTTCAGTGTTTCCCGTGCAATATTTCCAGTTACCTCACGCATTTCGCCCCAAACCTCTCAAGTGTGTAATTTATGTTGGGTATCCTACTTACTCTGCAGCCTTACCAGAATAGTGGTGATAATGTTTTATCTGTCCAAGGAAGCTTGCCTGGCATCATATACCATCCAAACAAGATTTTGAATTGTATTTCCATTGGAGAAGATACCATCACACTTTTGACCTACTTTCAGATACAGGCCCAAGTCTTATCAGCCAGATCCATCTGTGATTCCTGCTCCTGTTTCTCTGTATATTTATGTTCATATGCTCCCTCTGCATTCCTCAGAGCACAATAAATCCTGCCTGCCAACCCCTTCGTCACCTCTGCCACAAAAAGAATTGCTTCAAGGTCAAGCAGTTCCCTTGTAATGTGCAGTTTAACCTGATTTGTGGAGGCAAAGCTTTGAAATTTTTAAAATAAGGCTAAGGTAAAGTAAAACTTGCAAATGAAACTCTGACGGTAAGCTGGAGTATTTCCCTCTCCAAAGAGTTCGAGCAGAGGGCACTGTGCCATCTGAAGCCATAGGAGCTGGAATTATGTTATTTATGCACAGAAGATGTGCATCAAGTAGAAAAGAAAGCAAATGCTGTAAACAGAAAGTGATCAAACTCCCATACATGAGCAGGAGAGACACTGCAGGAAAAAGTCTTTCCCACTTTGTCTGGAAATTCACACCAGTGAATATCAGCAGTAAAGCACTTTTCAAAACTGCCTTTGAAAAAACTAAAAGGACAAATTTGGAGTGGAAACCTTAAAATTATCAATACAAGTAATTTCAGGATACAAAAATGTTCTGTAATGCTTTGTCAGTTTTCACCTGGTTTTGGCTACCATGCAAGCGGTGCTCCACTGATGAGAGATTGGCTATTTTTTTGAGACAGTAACAGTAGAGATTTGAAACAAAATATTAATATGGGTTTTTAAGATGTGGAGGTAAAAGACAAATGCAATCACCTAGGCAGTGTATGCACATTGACCTTCTGTACTTCATTGCCAAGGGTGGATGCTTTATGCCTAAATTAACAGTGTGGTAAACATGTGAAGTGTGGTAGCCTCTGTGGTAAATAACTACTAATATGTAATCCTACAGCGCTGGTCAGTAAGATTTTAATAGTACTACAGATTTAAAAAATAGTATAAAATTAGAATGGTTACAAAATCCAAATAGTCAAAACCCTTTGGGCTGACCTCCTACAGCCTTGGGAATAGCTTAAAAATATACATATATATATATATATATATATATATATATATAATAATTTTTTTGTATTCTGCAGACACTCCTTTTGAACACCAGAAGAGTCTAATTTTCAGCTTTCCTCTGTACAATGAAAAACCTCTTTTTTTAATAGAAGGTGCAATTTTCAGGTACTTACCTGACTCCAGGAGTCAGTCTTTAAAAAGCAAATAAATTTCCAAAGATCATGAGAAAGGGCATAAGCACACATCAGGAATAAGCTGAAAAGACTTCTTGAAAAGGTTTATATTCCAGCAAGTTCCACTTAGCTCTGGCTAAATGGATTAAAAACTGTCAGTCAACTAAAAATCTAGTAACAGATGCCCATACTGTACATATATATTATTTTTTAATTTTATTTTAATTAATAGTTCCAATGATAAATAACAGATTACACTATTTATAGAAAACTGCTATTACAAGAATATCAGATTGTGCTATTACACCCTCACATGCATACAGTTTTCTATATGGAAATTTGATAATGACAAGAATTGTTGCTTTTAGAGATTTGGGAATAGCGAAAAAGACATGGACTTTTTGTGTTGTTGTTGCCAAAAAACAAACAAACAAAAAAGCCCTACCTATCTATTTCATTTTTCTTTTTAATTAATATGGAACATAAGGACATTTCTTAAACAAGAAGCAGAATATAGAGTCTGAGGAGAGACCATGGGAAGAAAAAAAACCAAAAAAAAGCAAAACACATGTGAAGATTGTACTAAACTCTTTTTTCTTTACTGCTTTTTATTTCTTCCTTGCAAACAAAAAGCATTTGAAACTTTGCAGAAGTAAAAAAGAGACAAATCCAGGTAATTTTCAAATTTTCAGATTTTCTGCCCTTCCTCGCACATTTCACAAAATGTAGCATGGTATTTACCAATATGATAAAAAAGCACCTAAAACTAACATTGCACTGTGTTAGGAAAACTGCCCAGAAGAGCTGGTATCGAAATATCATGTAAAATTCATGTGGTAAGAAAAATTCCATTCAGACTGAGTCACAGAGCCTCATGCTGTATTTGTAAAATTCTCAAACATGATATGAGAGCATTATTGCCTTCAGGCTTGTTATTTCATCCCCTGGACACACAGAGAAGCATATCATCCTTTCATAGGATTGATCAGCAAATATCCTCCAGAGCAGTTAGATAAGAAGGCATTCCCTTCTGCTAGCTGTAGGTTTTTGCTGTGTTGCATTTATTACTGTGGTGTGAAAATCTCCCACTGAGTGCAATACCTTTAAACACTTCTCTGGGTTTTTTTGTTGTTGGGAGGCATTTTGCCAAGTGGTGTGTTGTGTTATTTACCTTGGAAAAGAATTGTTGCGGCATAATTTATTTTGGTCTGGGCAGAAATTAGCTATGGAAGAAGTTCTGAGACCTGTTTTCTCATTACCAGCAGGTCTTCCATCTGCTTAATTAGAAGTGCAAATATTTGGAAATCTGAAATCCTGCAGCAATGTCTCAGATAGCATTTCTTTGTTGCAAGATCTGAAAAGTGATCACTGATAATTGTTGATTGTGCTCTGTGTGACTGTAATTACATGGCATTGATCTGCTGTTCAGACACCACAGTGATGAGCTTAATACAAGAACCTAAATAGACTAGATACAATTAGACCAATAATCACCGAGAAGAGGTAGTTTAAAAGGGCAGAGGGAAATCACAAAAAAATGTGAATGACTGAAAGGAAAAAAACAAAACAAAACAAAACCACAAAAAACCTGCTGAATATTTTATCCAGCAAAGTCTGTTCAGCCATTTAAGCTGCTGATCAAATACCAGTTACCTCTTTTTGTGATTTAAAAAAAAAAAAAAAAAAAAGACTATTGAATCCTTGCCTGCCTGGAAAAATAAAGAGACTGCAGCAAACCCTCTCTGAACTAGGCAAGCATCAGGCTCTCTGCAGGCATGGGCAGCTGGCCAGACACCTCAAGGATTGTCCCTAAATACCAGGGGACTATCAGATCAGCCGGCTAGGGAGGTGAGAAAGCAAGAGACAAATGTGAGAAGGGAGAATTCATTACCACAAGAATGTCTGCTTGGCACTGTATAAAGTACTTTCACATTAGCATTTAGCACACCAGCCACACAGCTGTAAAAGGGTAGAAACCTGAGAAGGAAATGAGATAAAAGGGGAATATTGCTTCTAAAGTGGGCTGTGAACTTTCTTGCTCTAATTGATCTCTTACCATCCCACGCAAAGAAAAGCAAGTGGCACGTTCTGCAGATGGATCATTACTGGCTCATACACAGGAAAACCTTTCTACCCCTCCCCACAACTGCTGAAAATTGGGTTCACTCACAGGCCAGCACAGGCATACCTACTCTTGTTTTCAGGGAAAGAGGACACCAGTGCTGATGGCATGGTGACAAAATAGCCACCTGGCATGTGGGCTAGCCACATGGCTAATGCCTCCGCATCTTCCTCTCATATTGTGCCATAAGGGAAGGAACAACTTTAGCTCAGCTGATGAGGAAGAAAAGCTTTTTTATCCAAATGCTTTCTCCAGAATCATCAGATCAGTGTGTCCAAACACCCAAACCCAATGCAAACCAGTATCTGGCCCTCAAGAGTCTCAGAAACTTCCCCAATTATTCACGGTAAGAGTAAAGGAATGGATGAAGGAGACCAGAGGTGCACAGGAATGATGCAGCTGTGGCTGCAAAGGCTTTTGCAGACAAGGACATTAAGAAGGCATAGGCTGAGGAAAGGGAGGTTACACTTCTGTCAGAGGAGATGAAATGGCTGGAAAAATAAACAACCTTTCAGGCGGGAGGCTTTTTGCATCACTCCTGAGAAATGTTGAAGGAGTATTTTATCCCTGCATTGGCAAAGTGCTACAAAACAAAATGGTCAGGAATTTGGACTTGGTGCCAGAAATGCTGATTTAGCTCCCTTCTGAGAAGCTGTCCCACTAGAGAAGGATACAAAACTTCATGGATCTATGTGGAGGCAGATGAAGGCCAGGGAAGGCAGCATCACTCCAGTCAGATCACAAAAGCAGGCTCTGTGGAGCTTTTTTGTCAAATCAAAAGCATACCCACTTTCTGCAATTTAAATTCACAAACAACTTAAAAGAATTGTTCGGTAAATAATTTCACATAACAAGTGAAACTGAGAAAACAGCAATCTGTTTTAGAGTAATTTGTGAAGAGTTAAGAGGAAAATTTTGTTGAATAAATTATCCATTATAAATTATTCTCCCACCTGCGATTCCAACCATCCTGCTTCAGTTTCTCCTGTTACTTTCTGCCTGTTCTAAAGCACAGGGAATATTCAACTTTCATGTGCTCAACAGTAGGCAGAATACAAAACTGTATAAATAATACAAACTCAGCTCATATTTTGTTCAGTTCTCAGTGGCTTTTTACTCCCCATTCCAACATTTTGCTTTTTTTTTTTTTTTTTGGTCAGGTTTAAATTCACGACCTCTGTCTCAGCACATATGTTATAAAGTAGGGAAAAGAGTATAATGAAGAATAAGAATTAATAGATCCTAACACTGACAACATGCAGCACTTTTCATTTGTAGATTCTCAGTGATTTGCAAAGGCAGATGCATTTTATTATGCCCAGCTTCACAGATGGAGAATCTAAGGCACTGCACATATGTATATAACAAAATCTTCCACTCACTTCAAATCCACCTCATTTTTGCCCAGGGAGGTTAATGGTGTGAGAAAGGTGACAGCTCTGCCGTCGTGCAGAGCTCAGGGCACAGGCAGCTGGGGTAGCTCTGAACAGGCAGCACCAGAGCCGTGTCAACCTGCTGCTGCACCTGTGCTTGTTAGAAGCACCACTAATTAGCTTGACACAGCAACATGCTGCCATGCCTATATTGCTTCCAGGACCCAATTAGTATCTCTGCGAGGTACAGCACTAGATGATGTAGACACACAGCCTGTTCAGAGCTGCTCTGATACCGCCAGCCAGGATCAGCATTCATGGCCAGGCATGCCCAAGGTAGGCCATCAGTAAGGCCACGTAGATCCTGAGCCTCCCAACATTTGCTCTTGAGTTCAACTCACTGCATCATGAAGTTTTTTCCACCTCAAATGCAGGATACAGCACATAGAAAAGTACTCCTTTATTTTTTTTTTAAACTCAAACAATAATCATAATCTCTGCAAATATACCCCACAAGGCAATGTGTTTGCTGTGGATGGGTTTACACACTTCACTTCAGTCACTTAATTTATCCCAAGTGTACCTTAGTAATCTGCAGTGAGCTGATATGGAAATATGTCAGTTGAACCCAGCAAGCATAAAATCCCCTTTTCCTGCCACCTTTTCATTGTGCAGTGAAAAAACAGGTTTCTATGGCTCTTTGGGAAAAGGATTCTGCAAGATGTACCTGCGTGAATCATACTCTCTGCTAAGAAACATTACATCAGCATTACCTGAAGAGCCAAGTTTGAGATGAGGCCATGGATGTTCACTGATTATGAACTGGAGATGCTCTTGGGATTTTATCAATGGGGTTTGCCTACCCTCACTTCTTGCTTTTTGTGTGGTGTCCCTGGAACAAATACTCTCATGACCAGAACTGATTCCAGCCTTCAGAAGAACATGGACTACAGTCACTCCAACTTCTTCAGGAGTAAAGTCACTAATTCTCTAGCTTGCAGATGCCTAAAGCTGGGTTTGTTTCAGGGCAGGCAATCCACACAGACTCCATGGGCCACTAAGGCCATGTTACAGAAGTGAAATTTGCCAGGGCAGAGTCATGGAAATCCATTTTTTCTTTTCTTCTAACTACCCAGACACAGGTGAGGGCCAGCTTTTGATTCCCCAAGCTGCTGATCTTTACTATGGTCTAGAAGAGGCTTGGGACAACCCAAGGATTACACCAGACAGAGATGGCTGGGGGCTGTGTTGCACCCCAAATGGCAGTGGGAATTTCAGCTTCATTGTCCTCTATGGTCTGCTATCCCCTTCAGCTTCCATGGAGGAGAGGCCCTGTGTTACCCATGTGATGGAGGTCTCATGCAAGATCAGCTCTTGAGCTGCTCAGGATCTGTGGTTTTCACTTACCTCTCTTCATTACCTCTCCATTTAGACTTCCAGAGCGAGCTGGTGCTCTGGGTGGCTGTTGTCTAAGGAACTATATATGAAACATTTAAATAAAAATCTTAGAATCATAAAATGGCTCGGGTTGGAAGAGATGTTAAAGATCATTTTGTTCCCAGATGTGGGCAAGAACAATTTCTAATAATGCTCCATCCAACCTGGACATGAATACTTCCAGAGATGGGGCATCCACAGCTTCTCCAGGCAACTTGTGACAGTGCCTCACCACCCTCACAGTAAAGAACTTCTTCCTAATATCTAATCAGATATGTTTTCTTCTCTTTAAATTGTCTTTTTGGGGAGAAAAACAAAACCAAAAAACAAAACAACCAGGACTTAAAAGAGACCCTGGTACTTATTCAGTGTTCTAGCCTTGCCAATGGTCATATGCAAACCAGTGAAATCAGTGGGGGAATGCACACATGGAAATAAGCACATCTGCAATACTGGCCAGATCAGGCCTCTCCAGGACTGAGAGACTGTCTCTATTTTCTCATGACAAGTATGGAATCTTATAAGTCATTTCTGATAGAGAAAATAAGTTTTCAAGTAATAAGATTGAAAATGCACTTCTCTATCATTTTCAGGCTAAAAATTAAAAGTGAACTCACACTAACATTGTGTTGTCAATTTGGCTTCGTAACGTGTTTTTACTATTTACAAAAGCCTTTTCTCTTCACCTTTTGGAAATCTTCTCTTGATTCCATTTCCTTTTCTAATTACAGTCCCATTTCCTTAGTAAGTCCTTGAAAAAGCTTCCCCCATGCTGCTAATCATCTCTCCAGTTATAATCTTCAAAATTATGTTCCGTTCAGTTTTCAATTTGGCAGTGTCCAAAGACAGATCTCCATGTGGTTAACAACCTTTTATTTGCTGCCAGTTACAACTGAGGTTTTTGCTTCTACTCTTTTGGGGCTTCACTGATGTGCTTGATGCTGTCTAAAACATCCTTCTTCAGCACACTTTTGTTAGGCAGGTGTTTGCTTTATTATAGACTCCTGAGTTTTCATTTTTTGCTGGGTGCAAATTCATCCTATAGAATCCTATAATCCAGTCTTCTCTCTTTATTTCCTTCATATTTCTTCAAGGCAAAAAGAGTATTTTATTTTCAACTTAACACAACTACAAGAAAATCCTTTTCAAGACTGAAATTTCTGCTGAAAATTAGGGTAGCAACACTAAAATTAACTAAACTGCTCTGACTTAATCTGTATAGGTCTCTGGTCCTGTTAATATCATATGGAGGCACTCACCTTCCTGATGCATTTAGAATGAGAATTACTGTGTAGTCGCCCCTAGGATGTCAGGGATTGGTGCCAGGGCTATCTCCTGAGCAGTTCTTGTTGCTGGATTGCTTTCTTCAAGCCCATGAATAGAACCAGAAGCCTCTAGCAGATCTCTAGGTAGGTATCCTCCAGGGTGGCAGGGTACCTACCAGGTAGGTGTGACACAAAACACATAGTGACTAGTGAGTCCCACAGAAATTGCCTGTAGCTTTAAAGAGAAATGTTGGGCCGCAGTTGTAATAGGAAGGGGCAGAGCTTTTGGCAAATGGATATCTAGGAACAGAATTTCTCCCTTTCTCCCACCTCACCAAGTTGTAATTTTAAGTAGCATTTCTTTGCCCAGACGGTTTTTAAGTACCTGTTTCAGAGATATAGGTAAAAAGAAAAGAAAAGAAAAGAAAAGAAAAGAAAAGAAAAGAAAAGAAAAGAAAAGAAAAGAAAAGAAAAGAAAAGAAAAGAAAAGAAAAGAAAAG